GCATGGAAATAACAGATTGTTAGTAATATCACTGATTAATGTTATTGGCATGTTCTTCTGAAATTTACAGGGCCTACAGGAAGTTTTTGCTGAGAAAATGTGGGCGTAGAGGTGGTAGAACGCATACCTCAGGTTAGGGCTATTTTCTTGGAAAACCATCTAGTTCTAGTACAAGAACCAGTGGATGGTGTAGACCCCAGATCTCTATACAACAAATAAATTGGGGCTACTCCTTAGGTCTTTCTGGAACCAAAGACTCCGTCCTTTCTCCTCTATCCTACTCCTTACCTGGTTTTAACATTTCAACCTTATTCCACAAAGATTCATTCCCTAGTGGGCTCTACCTATTTCTAAAGTTAGGAAGAATTCTGCAAATTATTTTTTCTAGTTTTATTTTAACCCAGTTTTCACAAAATGGAAGTTTTTCAGGTAAGTGTTTCATATCTGCCAGATGGACGAGAAGAATAATGATGTCTGCAAACACTTGATCGTCTTAGCATCTATTTGTTTTTTATAAAATTAAAAAAAAATACCGTTTTAGGTTCTAAGAAACTAAATTACACAAATGTTAGCAAAACATTTACATTTGGTATGTGCATTTAACAAGCAATTTCCTAGCTCCCAAAATATTTATTTTCAATATCCTGCTTGCTTTTTATGGCCGATCTACTCTATTTGAAATCTGTTAAATTTATACAACCAGTAAATTACTTTTCCATAATTGCTGTAATTACAGTCCTCTTCACATGCTCATGCTTATTTCTCAGAATTCTACTACATTCATGATGAAGTCCAGGCACATCATGAGACTTTAGGAGACAATAAAAATGTTTCCTTAACCTTAAAAAATATTAAAAAAAAAAATAAATGTACCTAAAACTTATGTGCCGTACTAACAGCAGGCTATTCATAATACACATACATGTTACTTATATCTAATCCATTAAGAAGTTTTTCTGAATTACCTTACTAAAAATGTTCTAGAAAAAAATCTCTAATGTGACACTCTTGATGAGGGAAAAAGCCACTT